TACAGTGTACGCTTCCTGATGATGTGCAGAAACAGAGATTTTAAGTGTCCTGCCTAAAGAAGTGTTTTATCACTGCAGTGCCTTCCAAATTAAACGCATTCCTGATGATTTACCCTCTGTCCTACACATTTCACTTACATAATCCAATTCAAAAATACATTTTTCTAAGCTAACTGCTCATTCTGCATTTCGGGTCTGTAGACACATGTAGCAGTACAGAAGGAACAAATGATGTATTTTTCATGCAATCAGAAGCCTCAGCTCTAAACAGCAGCAAAACAATTACCTTGATTCTTCCAGCAGACATCCCGCAATATCCACGTACCCGCAATATCGCTGGCCGCCGTACAGGAAAACCTGTGTGTTTACATCAGTGTATACTGAAGTGCTGCTTTGAACAGCAAAGCTTTCCAGAAAGAAGTCCGCTCTGACCTAAGCTCTATTTTTTTTTCTAAATGCTGGACGAAATGGAAGTGAGAGGTTTGACCCTTGCACAGCAGGTATTCAAAGCTTTTATCTGAAGTTGCTTATATTTTGTACTAATGTAAACAAAAAAATCTTACCGAAACCAGCTGAGTTATTGTTAACACTATGGCTGAGTCTTTCTCTTTAAGAACATGATCCACCTGTTAATTGGGCAAAAGAATACACAATAGCCTTCTCAGATGCAGAACTGTGCACATACATACTTAGTTTAAAATGTAATTTCAAAAAGTCAGCAAACGGGTCATGCCATAGTCATTAGTATCATATTGAGGAGCTGTTCCGTAGCTTGTTACGCGGGTAAGGAACATGTGGATTCACAGATGCGGGCCACCCACTGAGAGATCTTAAATGATCTCCCTAAGGAATGATTTGGTGAAGGACCAAACCTACTCCAACATCCTCCCCTAAGGGAAGAACATTTACAGTTTACCTGCTCAACAGCGCTAAAAAGATATTTGTTTAACCTGCTCCAAAAAGACTAAAGAGGGAAATTCCAGAATATCCCTAGCCTGTTAGAAAAGTTCACTATCTACATGGTTCAAAATCCTTTGCTTCCGTTCATTTTGCTGCAAACTAGGCCAATTTCTTCTTGTGAATGGACAAAAGAGATGGACTTATCACTGTTCTCATGCGGCAGAAGACTGCTATCATATGTATACTCAATCTTCTCCTTTAATAACCCAATCACTTTACCCTTCTGAGCACGTCATATAAACAAAAATAGGCAAACCATATTAAATTTGTACGGCAAACTGTCTTTCTCCCATTTTCACAGCTCCTGAAAGAGTAAAAGGATATCCGTATTTATGACAATATCTAGACCCTTCAGAAAGCACAATACTCCTTTAGAAACAGTTCTACAACTGAAAGCTGAGAATTGCTACTATTTCCTTCCCTCTGAAATCTGGTAACAAATAAGAAATTACCAGTCTGGTTTTTTACACGTAGGAAACAATTTGTATCTTATAATAAAAGCATAAAATGATTCTGCCCTTCACGTCTGCAGGCTCCTTCAAGAAGCCGGCGCACATAACCATGAGTATCTGAGCCAGCTGTTTTGCTGAAGTGGGATTCACACTTAGTCATTCAGTGCTAAAGAAAAATTGTTACAATTCACAGTGGCAGAATCAGGAGTGAAAATGAACTGCAACACCCACTCCCATCCCATCGCAACCACAGAGAAGGCAGCTGAACCTAAACTGGTTTTCAAGCTGTTCATTCAAGCGTCACTCAGATTTGCTGTGCAATCTTCAGGCGTTGTACGCACCTATGGAGTTCCATGGTCTAGATACCAGCAGGTGGCTTAAAGGTTCAACAGCTCTTTATTCTTATATTTGACAGTATATACACTTAGCAGATACGGGTATCATAATTAAAGAGAGCAACGGACAACAAAAAGTTACTTTTGTCCTGCAGGCATTTCCAATCATGTCATTATTACACAGAAGCAAAGACAAGTCATTTTGCCTTGCTTTGGTCAGGAAAACTATCTGGACTAACCATTCTCACAGCTCCTTTGCCGTCACCTGCAATTTAAGCTCCTTAATACATATATAAAAACAAAACTGAAGACGCCTGCCATAAAGACTGTTAATACAGAACCTTTACCTCTATCAGGTATGCACTCTTCACTCTTTTCTGCTTTTTTTAGCGTAAGAGCTATCGGAACTGGGACTTAATTCAGCTCAATCAGAATAGTCTCCTAGCAAAGTCTGTTTTAATAAAGAATTTCCTTCTTTCCTCAGATACATCATCATTCCACAGACTTTTATACATATATTATTAATCTAATGAACCAATATTTAGGCTCTTTTTTCCTTAGCTGCATATCTGCCATATGAACAAATTATATCTAATGATAGAAGAGTTAAATTCTGCCTCCACTTTCAAACACAAGCAAGCCAAAAAACTCTAAAGTAAAACTTTGCTGAAGTGGCCGGTCCTTTCAGTGTCTCCTACTACGCCCTTTATACCAACAGAGTTTGTAGAGTGATTTTAAGGTATATGTGAAAATAAGCAAGGTGGTATTAGTCACCATGAAAATTCCAGTTTTGATTTTCACCGAAAAGGTAACTGTGGAAAACAAAGCCTCAGGCACGACGGCTTCTCTGGGAGGAGGCTGGTGCAGCAGAGTCAAACACGCTCTCCCCACTGAAACGCTTCTCCCTAGCACCCAGATGGCACTTCACGGGGGGCAGGAGAGGCTTTGATCTCGCTTACAGCCTGTACTGAGAACAGTTTCCACCTACACTCACCTAGCACAATCTCTCCCGCTCTGGTGCGGGACACCTATGAATACCGGTTTCTCAGCATTTTAAAGGGCATTTCCACCCCCCCTGCCCCTCCATCCCCCCTTAGGAGAAGCAGTACTGCCAGGGGAAAAAAAAGGTACATACACAAGAATATAATTTGCTTGTGTTTAAAAACGAGGGAAAAGAGGGAAAAGAGTTTTAAAAGTTAAACACACTGTTCTTTCACCACATTTTAATTCTGGACTGCAAGAAACCTCTATTTATTAGCAGTAATATGTTAGATCATTCAACCATTTAATTTCAAGAATGTGCCTGTTAACAAGTCTGCTGATTAGGATTAATTAAGGGGGTGGAATTTCTTACATGGCACCTGATCACAGAGTTTAGAGGAAGTATGAAAAATTCACAAGAAATCACAGCTCCTGCAACAAAGGAATCAAACTTCGGATGCTGAAGTATTTTATACAAGACCACTTTTTCTTAAAGAGTCCTTCCTTTATGTAGAGCTCATCAGGCACTAAAAAGCGCCAGGAAACACGCAACGTGGAATACTCATCTATGTAGATTGCCCTTAATTTTTGTCCCTGAAGAGGTAAAGTGCAACAGAGCATGTGTCAGGAATTCACCTGCAACTGACATCTACCATCACCAGTGCTCTGAAACCTAAACTGATGGGCTTTCAATGGTAAAAATTCCTACTAAGGAATCATTCTGTTAATAGACTTTCCAAAATACGTAAGCACCGGAAATTTCCAATTATCAAATCCCAAAACTTCCAAAGACAAAACAAACAAAGTTGGTCCTGACATAATCAGTCTGCCCCCTTGGAATCGGGAGTCTTCATTTCTAACAATATAACAGGTCTCTAATTTAAAATATACACCTTATTAATTGCTATAATGAAAACCAAACAGTTTTAAATGTAAAAAAATATTTATTTTGATTTTGTATACAAAAAGTCAAAACAGCTGAACAATTATTAGTACTGACTATTTTTTGTGACTATTTAATGGCAAGTATTTTTAACCTCACGCTACAAAAACAAGTGCTTTTAAAATTGTATTCATGTTTTTGATTTTACTTATCTTTTTTCACCTGACTAGTGGCTAATGCAGTGGTTTTAAATAATTAAAGTAACAGAGCTTAACAGACACAATAAGTTACACTGAAACTTTTGACCAGACCATTAAAAGATTAGTCTGAGGCACCAATGCTACTCACTCCTCATTTACATCTAATTATTACCTACTGAGAAAAAGATGCAAACTGCATGCGGGTTTTTGATACTTATTTTTAGTGAGCATAGAAAAGTTAGCCTACTATAAAAGTACCTGCTGTTTTATTCTACGGCTGCTGCATATATAGAAGAACAACTGAGACATAAAATTCCCAAGCTTTCTTAAAAAGGAAAATAGAGACTCTGAAAAAGTCTAAGTTACTAAATAAATACATTCTTTGTATGGTATATCCACTTCCCTTTCCACAAAACTCCTAACAAATTATTTCAACTCTAAAGGGAAACATTTTTTTTATTTAAAATATAAATATTAAGAAAGGCTTTTGGAAATAATAAGTAGTGACAACTCATTTTTATCACATACAAGCTCTAAAGAAATCAGCATGTTTTAAGGAAGACTGCAACACTAAGGGTTGTATTAAATCCCTGGGGTAAGGATAGCTGCAACGATTTTTCACGCAGTTTGCAAGACTGCGGAAAAGCTTAAGCCCAGGCTCTCGTGACCCAGCTGTAACCATCAAAGCAATCTTTGCAAGAGACATTTCACATGCCAATCCCAAAACCAGTCCGTCATCACAGACAGAGACGATTTTGTAAGGAAAAATTGCATAGTTTTACAATTGTATTAAAAAAGTAAGTAATGATTTTTTCATCTGTGATGGATGAAGGAAACCTGTTGTCTGAGAATACCAGCAGTCAAAAAGCCAAGGAATTTTTGAAGCTCCACAAAAGAAATGCAGAAAAAAGACAAGTTTGGTAAAACCATCAGTATTCTTCCATATTTAAGGTGCATTAAGATGGAGACTGCCAAAGATTCCGATCTCACACGTTTTATGCATGTTCCAGTTTTGATCCTGAACTCAGAAAATCCTCTGCAGTTTGGCAATTAATAGTAAAAAAAAAAAAAAAAAAAAAAAAAAAACATTACAAACGAATCTGCAGATTACAGATTACAAATAAACCTGCAAATATTTTGGTAACTCTGAACAGCACTTTACAATTTACATCAACACCTGCCAGTTTCATCATCTCTCAAACCTACGAAGCCTTTGCCTTCTTATGTCCTCTTCTGAATGCTGCTCAGGTGGAAACCAAAACCCATAGGGTCGCCGCTCATTGTTATACGTTGCTCCACCAAAATCTACAAGACACAATGAAAAACAACTGTTATTTTGTTCTGTCATATGAGAAAAATGCACACACTTCCTGTAACCCAAAGCATGACAACACAAAGGAAAGAGGGAGTTGAATGTTTCCAATTCTGACGGTTTCAGGGCAATCCTAACTTCCAGCAACTGCTCTTAAAGACACTGAAATAAAATTTAAAAAAACCCCACAACACCAAAACACCAAACCAACAAACCACAACCAAATGAACATTTAACAAGTATTAGCCTGGGAGTTGACATTTTTCATCATCCCTACTTTATACCATAAACTCCAGATTGTTAAACTATTTAAATGTCCTCAGCAGTTACTTCTGGCAAAATAAGCTTTTGTTTTTGCTTTCAGTATTGCAGTCCCACATGTGCTGATCCGCACCAGATGCGCGTACAACTCCCATCCTTCGCTGGCAGCAAGCAATTTCAGAAATAAACTACACGTGGCAGCTCATCTGGAGAGAGCTGTAAGCAAATTAATCCGAGGAGAAATAGCACACCAAGGCCGCAGGTCCTCTGCCCCGGCACCCCAGGAGAAGGCAAGAACAGGCAATTCCAGCAACTCTTCCGGATTCACATGAAGCGACAGAGCACAGAAGCGATGAAAAGGTGGTTACGCACCACCTGAACTGAGGGCCTCTGGGAAAAAGAAGCAGTAGACTGCCTCCTCAGCACAGGTACGGCCTTAAGGATAAGCAAATCAGCCTTACAGATAACACAACAGCCTCTGTAACAGAATCACAGAATGGTCAGGGTTGGAAGGGACCTCTGGAGATCATCTAGTCCAACCCCCCGCCAGAGCAGGGTCACCTACAACAGGTTGCACAGGACGGCATCCAGGCAGGTTTGGAATGTCTCCAGAGTGGGAGAGATTCAAACATTCAGTCTTTAAACTTTCCTCTCAGGGTCTCATTTAAATTAGCTAAAATGAATATGGAAAACCAAAGGTAAGTATTGCAGTACTATTACGTTCATTTTCAAGAGGAATTTCAAATAGCGCTTTGCCCTGTATCAGAAACTGCTTGTAGCAAACACGCAAGGCCAGTGTACGTGACGTGAGTCAGGAAGCCCACCCTACCGAAAGGCTCTGTTAGTTTCTGATTCAATACAAAAGCATTTTAGTTTGTAGAGTACCCACCAGTATGATTTTGTGAAACTATTAGAACACGCTCCTAATTTTTCTTTTGTGTTTGCCAAGAAGTCAAACTCCTGGAAAATGCTTCCAGGGATAACTAGAGCTGCTCAGAGTCTGGTAGGCAGCAATATTAACAGCAATGGTTATCGAATGAGATGCCCTGTTTACAAGGATTTTTCAAATTCATACTAATATACAGGAAATTAATTACATATATATTTTAGTATTTTATCTTCAGCTTGTCCCTGTGTCTCAACTTGTTAGAGAGAAATCTGAAAAATATTTAATCTGTTACTCTGTCTCTGAAAACACTACAGCACTATTTGACAAGTATTTTTCAAAATATTATAGAAAGCTAACATTCATTGGAAGTCATAGAGCTTGGCACAGGTAACTAACTGCAATGCTGTTCAATTTTATTTTTTTTAAATCCAAAAGCAATCTCCTTGTCTAAAAAAAAAATTAGACGTGGGCAGAGTGGTTTTCATTAACAAAAAAATATTAAGCTGATCTGAAAGTTCATTTTACTAAACTTGTTTTCCCTCATTTTACTTATTTTCTTATACATAAGAAGGTTTATTTTAAAAGAAAAACCACAGTTTTACTGTGTCCTGTTGACCACAAGCTGAGAAAAACCACTGGCTTACAGTACTTTGTAACGCAATGGACATTCATTTAGAAATTAAAAAACCCAAGAGCTTCAAATTGGAAGGCACAAAGCAAGGTGGTCAGCGGACATCCGACCCTTTCGTAATAGTGCAGAAATATGGCTAGACAAAAAAGTTAAAAGGCCTGAGAAAGCTCAATTTGAAGTCAACATTTATGAACTTCAACATTATGAACTTCAACATTATGAAGCATTTGAAGTCAACATTTATGAACTGTAGACACATACTGGAATACAAAATACATCTATAAGTATCTATCTTATTCATCATCTATGAGTATGGGAAGAAATTGTTAAACAACACTGAATTCATTATAACATTCTCAATAATGTTTATGTTTTCATGGCAAAAAAAAGGAGAATAATCATTGTGATTCTTAATTTTTAACAGTAAATAATATCTGGGGTGAATAAAAGGAAAAGAAAATTATCTTTTACGATGTTATTTATATAGTAATATAGCACCAATTAAAATGTCTTGTATTTTCTTAATATTTTTACTTTTGCTGGGTATAACTTTTAATATAAATATTAACAATAGCTGAAAGATATAAATTTTGATATATGAAGAGTAATGTAGTCAAGACCCTGATCGTACAAATGGCTGCACCATACAGGGTCAAAACTGCACTATAATGCTGAAGTTTGATTTATTTTTTTTTTAAATCATCATAATTAAGAAAACATTTGCATTTTTAAAAAATCATTTTCTGTGGTGACATTGCCAACTAAATACCAAGGTTTCATTAAAACATTTATTTTTCTATATAGCATCTCGGTTAGTTTTTATTTAAGAAATCAGATACCACTTACACAGTTAAGACACGTACTGGCAGAGTCCCCATAAAATATGCTCAACACTTCAAATATAATTGTGCCTTAATAATCACTAGAAACAAGAAAAGATGTTATAAAAAATATGCAAAGTGCTCCTTTATATGTTGACCCAAAAATGAAAGACTGACCATGTATTTTGAAAAGCTTTATGTTCAAGAAAAGATCTTATTTTACATCAAACAATACGGTGGGGAGTGAAGTTTTCTAAATGCGAAGGTTTAAATACATGTATATATTTAAGTTACCCTGTTACCCGAAATAGTTCCCTGATACTTTTTTTTTTTCTCACTACAGTAAAAACATTAATAACCCCCTTCACCTAACCAAAATATTTATAAGCCACAGTGTTCAGAGAGGGTAATTAGGCCACTGTTACTACTGAAACACCACTGGGACTTCTGTGCAAGAAACAAACACTATCTTTCAACACACCAGTAAAATACTTCAAGACTAGTTGATTTTAAGATTGCATTTAAAGTATTTAAAAAACTGCAGTAACACCAGATGAGAGACAAAACCAAAGGATATAGTACAAAAAGTTTGAACAAAACACTAACCCTTACATAGCATATTTTTAAATGAATTTGATTGAGAACTAGAACTGTGTCCTGTGAGTACAGGAGACCGAGACCCTCCACACCTTTCCTGTCATTCTGTGTAGGGGCTTTTTTGTCACTAAAGTTTACAGGACTTTGGACCAAAACAAGCAAATCACTGTAACTGCAACTGGTTTAACTAAACCTGTATTAGCGTAATACAAATAAAGCTTTAATAACCTTAAACATTTTCAACCACATGTTAAAGAAATATGCTCATCATGCCTAAAATACTTACTGTAGTGAGGCATTACAGCACGTTACTCTGAACCTACAGTCCCCATAGGCATCATGTATAATGCATCACGCACTGGTTCAAAGGTTACTCGGCATGTCAAAATCCGACATTTGATTAACTGCAGACACACAGTCTGAAATGAAGGTGACAACACTGACCGTCCTCCCTTTTTAACTTATTTTTCCCCCACTACGGATGAGCAAGCACCTCTCAGTTAAGAAAACGGAGAATGTTTTGTGCTCAGAAGAGCAGAGTCCCTCCTCAGCTTGGAGTGCCAGTGCTGACACTGAGCTTCCCGGTCTTCCTTCAGCGCCTGATCTACATCAAGATTTACAGAAGGAGCTGCTTGTATAGTAACCCTAACAGAGATTTGGGAAAGACGACTGTAAAACGCTTTATGCTGAACTACGAGACCATTTTTACTAGTTAAAAAAAACAACACAGATTTGCAGATCATTACTCAAATTCACACCCTTTTTCTTGGATTTAAACAATACAGAAAAATAAGAACTATTGAGTAGAAGTCTCAAATCAAAAAGACATAATTAACCAGGGTAATCCCTCAAGAAACTAGGGAGTTTATCATACTGTTTCAGTTACAGGCAAATTCGAAGTTTTGGAAACAAATTACTGGCATGGTCACTACAGTCATTTTAACAATGTAACTGCCCAATCCCATAAGGCCGAAAGAAAAAATATATCTTTATATGAGACCATTGGCCATATCTTAGTGCGTATTGGAGGCTTTGCACTGAAAATTCTGCACCCAATATTGGTTCTTCTGATTCCTAAGAAAAACTTCTGGTTTATACCTTAAGTTCTATTACCTGCTTTAATTTTTATAATTAACAGATTGCACACAAACTACTCAACTCAAACTCCTGAACTTCTCATACAGCAGATACTCATTGCCTCTATCTTATTGGATGATACTTCTGTTTTACAACAAGAAAATATATTCTAAATTCTACACAAACAGAGACAGCACATAACAAACTCAACCAACAATAACTGCAAGGAGTTAAGACTGTCCTTACTGGACAGAAGTCCTTTAAATGAAAGACTAACACACATATATTTCAGTTCTGTTCTCATGCAATTTGGGGCACTACTAACTTACAACAGCTGATAATGCCCAAAACTTCCTTAGAGACTTTATGACAGCAAAAGGAAACTTAAATGTCTCAATGTGCCTTTTGGATTCATATTTGAGACATTTATGAAATAAATCCTGAAATTCCATTTCATCAATGAACTGATGCTGAATAGTTCATCTCACTTGTAACAGGTCATTTGCAAGTAAAAGATTATTTCAAATTAAGTACTAGCGCATTGAGTATTTTTATCAGACAATCAGGACAGCAATAAATTACTCTTGTTCATTGTTCAACTAAATCACATTTGTTTTGTTAAAAGGCAAAATTGATAAAAACTTGAATATTAAAAAAATCTGGCTTCTGTTGCTATACCGATTGCATGATATATTTAAAAAAAAAAAGGCATAATCA